GAGTGTGGGGCAGGGATTGTTACAGACTATGGTGGGCTCAGCCCAGGGCCGGGAACCCTGTCCCACGCCCCGCGGGGGCTGGGACTCCAGGGTTGGATCTGTGGGGAGTGGGGGCTAATGGTTAGAGGGGACCCGGGAGCCAGGACTCCTGGGTTCTCTCCCAGCTCTGATCCCTGGCGGAGGCCCGGGGCCCAGGGTGCTGAGGGAGGCCTGGCTGGGCTGGCTGGGGGCCGGCCTGTGCAGCACAGAGAGTTTCTGGCCCAGGCCCCACGCGGGGGCTGGGACTCCAGGGTTGGATCTGTGGGGAGTGGGGGCTAATGGTTAGAGGGGACCCGGGAGCCAGGACTCCTGGGTTCTCTCCCAGCTCTGATCCCTGGCGGAGGCCCGGGGCCCAGGGTGCTGAGGGAGGCCTGGCTGGGCTGGCTGGGGGCCGGCCTGTGCAGCACAGAGAGTTTCTGGCCCAGGCCCCAGAGAGGCCCGGCACCAAAGGCTGAAGCTGGAGTGACAGCCCCGGGCCCCCCTCGCGGGCTCTCCCGGGCTCTGATGCCTGGCTGGAGGGGCAGGCCTGGGTGCTAATTAGGGTGACCCTTTTTAAAGGGACAGCGCCATATTTAAGCCCTCCCAGGGGAGTCCCAATTTTTTCTTAAAAATGGATGCAGCTCCCGTCCCTCCTGCATGGTGCCGAAAGGGCTCCTGCTGGCCTCCTGGTATGACCCTGCCCCTGCCTGCCCCCCACCCGCTGCCTCAAGAAGGCGCAGCACTTGGTACCAGGAGAGGCGGGTCCATCCTGGCATCCCAGCCAGGCATGGGGGGTGCAGAACACTGGGCAGGGTGGGTTGGGTCAGGCTGATTGGCCACACTCACCCCTGTGCGAGAGAATGTGGGAAAGTGTGGGTGTGCCCTGTCCCCTTGCAAGAGAGTGTATAGGAATGAGTGTGTCCCCTGTCCCTATGTGAGAGAGTGTATAGGAATGTGTGTGCCCTTTCCCTGTGCAGGAGAGTGTGCAGGAATGTGTGTGCCCTGTCCCCGTGCGAGAGTGTGCACAGGTGTGAGTGTGTCCCCGTGCAGGAGAGTGTGCAGGAATGTGTGCGCCCTGTCCCCGTGCGAGTGTGCACAGGTGTGAGCGTGTCCCCTGTCATTGTGCAAACCTGGCAGCCAAGAGGGTGACTACAGGCCCCAGCTGGTAGGGTTCTGGTGAGCAGGGGCTCGGTGACCGAGCTGTGATTTGCACGTGTGCACGGTTGTGGTGAGCTGTTGGTGAGCTCGCGTGCGCACGAAGCGCGGCACCAGCGATCGCCCCGAGCCCCGGCAGAGAGGAAGGGGGCACGTGCTCTGTCATTGTGCAAACCTGGCAGCCAAGAGGGTGACTACAGGCCCCAGCTGGTAGGGTTCTGGTGAGCAGGGGCTCGGTGACCGAGCTGTGATTTGCACGTGTGCACGGTTGTGGTGAGCTGTTGGTGAGCTCGCGTGCGCACGAAGCGCGGCACCAGCGATCGCCCCGAGCCCCGGCAGAGAGGAAGGGGGCACGTGCTCCACTGTCCCCGTGCGAGACAATGTGCAGGAATGTGTGTGTCCCCTGTCCCCGTGCGAGACAATGTGCAGGAATGTGTGTGTCCCCTGTCCCCGTGCGAGACAATGTGCAGGAATGTGTGTGTCCCCTGTCCCCGTGCGAGACAATGTGCAGGAATGTGTGTGTCCCCTGTCCCCGTGCGAGACAATGTGCAGGAATGTGTGTGTCCCCTGTCCCCGTGCGAGACAATGTGCAGGAATGTGTGTGTCCCCTGTCCCCGTGCGAGACAATGTGCAGGAATGTGTGTGTCCCCTGTCCCCGTGCGAGACAATGTGCAGGAATGTGTGTGTCCCCTGTCCCCGTGCGAGACAATGTGCAGGAATGTGTGTGTCCCCTGTCCCCGTGCGAGACAATGTGCAGGAATGTGTGTGTCCCCTGTCCCCGTGCGAGACAATGTGCAGGAATGTGTGTGTCCCCTGTCCCCGTGCGAGACAATGTGCAGGAATGTGTGTGTCCCCTGTCCCCGTGCGAGACAATGTGCAGGAATGTGTGTGTCCCCTGTCCCCGTGCGAGACAATGTGCAGGAATGTGTGTGTCCCCTGTCCCCGTGCGAGACAATGTGCAGGAATGTGTGTGTCCCCTGTCCCCGTGCGAGACAATGTGCAGGAATGTGTGTGTCCCCTGTCCCCGTGCGAGACAATGTGCAGGAATGTGTGTGTCCCCTGTCCCCGTGCGAGACAATGTGCAGGAATGTGTGTGTCCCCTGTCCCCGTGCGAGACAATGTGCAGGAATGTGTGTGTCCCCTGTCCCCGTGCGAGACAATGTGCAGGAATGTGTGTGTCTCCTGTCCCCGTGCGAGACAATGTGCAGGAATGTGTGTGTCCCCTGTCCCCGTGCGAGACAATGTGCAGGAATGTGTGTGTCCCCTGTCCCCGTGCGAGACAATGTGCAGGAATGTGTGTGTCCCCTGTCCCCGTGCGAGACAATGTGCAGGAATGTGTGTGTCCCCTGTCCCCGTGCGAGACAATGTGCAGGAATGTGTGTGTCCCCTGTCCCCGTGCGAGACAATGTGCAGGAATGTGTGTGTCCCCTGTCCCCGTGCGAGACAATGTGCAGGAATGTGTGTGTCCCCTGTCCCCGTGCGAGACAATGTGCAGGAATGTGTGTGTCCCCTGTCCCCGTGCGAGACAATGTGCAGGAATGTGTGTGTCCCCTGTCCCCGTGCGAGACAATGTGCAGGAATGTGTGTGTCCCCTGTCCCCGTGCGAGACAATGTGCAGGAATGTGTGTGTCCCCTGTCCCCGTGCGAGACAATGTGCAGGAATGTGTGTGTCCCCTGTCCCCGTGCGAGACAATGTGCAGGAATGTGTGTGTCCCCTGTCCCCGTGCGAGACAATGTGCAGGAATGTGTGTGTCCCCTGTCCCCGTGCGAGACAATGTGCAGGAATGTGTGTGTCCCCTGTCCCCGTGCGAGACAATGTGCAGGAATGTGTGTGTCCCCTGTCCCCGTGCGAGACAATGTGCAGGAATGTGTGTGTCCCCTGTCCCCGTGCGAGACAATGTGCAGGAATGTGTGTGTCCCCTGTCCCCGTGCGAGACAATGTGCAGGAATGTGTGTGTCCCCTGTCCCCGTGCGAGACAATGTGCAGGAATGTGTGTGTCCCCTGTCCCCGTGCGAGACAATGTGCAGGAATGTGTGTGTCCCCTGTCCCCGTGCGAGACAATGTGCAGGAACGTGTGTGTCTCCTGTCTCCGTGAAGGAGAGTGTGTAGGGATGAGTGTGCCCTGTCCCCGTGCCAGAGAGTGTGCGGGAATGTTCCCAGAGGTCTTGGTCCCTTTGGACTGGGGTGGTGACGGGATTTGGGGCGGGGGACACCGGAGGGTTAGGGAGCCTTCTCTACACCAGGGTCCCTCCTCCCCAGGTGCTGCTGGTCACCTCGTCCTTCATGTCGCCCTCGGAGAGCAAGGCCGGCACCAACCTCAACCGGGTCCGGATGTTTGGCCCAGACAAGCTGGTGAAGGCCGCGGCTGAGAAGAAATGGGACCGAGTGAAAATTGTCTGCACTCAGCCCTACACCAAGGTGGGGCCCCTCGCACGCTGGCCGGGGTGGAAGGGATTCCGCGGGGGTGAGCCAAAGGGGCAGTGCGGATCAGTGGCCATTTTCACTACACCCTGCTGAGGTGGGGCAGGGGTGACGTGCTCCAGGGACAGTCCGGACTGGGGAGTAGCTGTGTCGCTGGGACACTCGAACCCGACTGCCTCTGGGTCCAAAGAAAAATTATCAGAGAGAAAGACACAAGCCAGACCTTCCTTTACCATGCTCAGTGACTGGAGAGCAAGGAGGGCTTTTCTCTTTCGCAGGCTGAATTTCCTTTCAAGCTGGGACTCTCCCCTTTGGTTCAATCCATCCAGCGTTCACTGATAACATGAAATGGGAGAGGTGAGGTAGAAGCCCCTGGTATCCTTCTCCCCCATTGCCTCTCATCTTATGTACATGCGGCTTGAACTCTCTCTTGTATACAATGAACATTTCTTATTCACCATTTCCCCTGTTGGAGACTGGCTGTCAGAGCACGTAATGCCTGGTGGGGTATTGAGCTGGTCTCTGTCTACCCAGGAGGTAGTCTGGGGGTATTCCCCACAGTAACTTCAGAGTAGAAGGTTATAGCTTTATACACAGAGTTGTTCCACATTTTAACAGGACAATGATGTTCTGCAGATTATGAGTTTTCACATGATACTTCCCGAGGCACACTTTGTACCAAATGTATGATAACCGTGTGAAAGTGGACACAGTGCGTAAGTGGAGGAAGGATGAGGTCTAGTGGTTAGACCGGGGACAGGGGCTGTGAGCCAGGACTTCTGGATTCTCTCTCCAGCTCTGCCAGTGAGTCACTTTCTTTCTGGCTGATCTCCTGTAGACCTTGGCTTATGGGCTGTCCTTCGTGAAGTTCCACTCGCCGCCCGAAAACAACGAAACCCCATCAAAATCTGCCTCTCCGGTGAGTAGAGCTTTCCTGTGCCCCTCGTCCCTGACCCGCAGCCTGATAACCCGGCCTACCTCTCCCCACAGAAGGTGACCAAACTGGGCCAGTTTAAGGTAAAGGACGAGGATGGCAGCTCTGCCTCGTTGAGACCTGGGGCCCTGTTCTTCAGCCGAGCTAGCAAACCGCTGCTCACGCCGCCAAAAGGTACCGGAAACTTCTGGAGGGGGAGGGGGAGGGGGTGTGGGCGTTAGACTGGGAGTTGGGAGCCAGGACTCCTGGGGTCTCTCCCGGGCTCATGGAGGGCAGTGGGGGCTAGTGGTGAGAGCTGGGTGTGCTGCCCGCCCGCCTAGTTTACCCGGAGGTGCCGGTTTCCAGGGGCTGTCCCCTGCCCTGGGGTGGCTCTGGTGAGCTCCACGTGCTGCTGCTGAGCCTCGTGGCCGTGACGTCTCTTCTCTGCTCCCATGCAGCCTCGCCCACAGAGGACCCGTCCCCCAGCCCCGCGGCAGTGGGGGCTAGTGGTGAGAGCTGGGTGTGCTGCCCGCCCGCCTAGTTTACCCGGAGGTGCCGGTTTCCAGGGGCTGTCCCCTGCCCTGGGGTGGCTCTGGTGAGCTCCACGTGCTGCTGCTGAGCCTCGTGGCCGTGACGTCTCTTCTCTGCTCCCATGCAGCCTCGCCCACAGAGGACCCGTCCCCCAGCCCCGCCGTGGCCACCCTCCAGGCCAGCACGCCCCACGCCGCCTCCCCATCCCCACCCGCCGTGGGGAAACCCACCGCCAGGACCTCCCCCAGCTGTGCTGCAGCCTCCCCCAAGGTATGGCGC